CCCCCTCGGAATTACCTGTCCTGAGCCCGGGGCGGCGGCCGCCCTCTGTACACCTCTCTGCCCACATATCCGGACTCGCAGTACGGGTCCAGATCCTCCATCACCTTACAACGCTGCCTCTGTCCCTCTGGCTAATGGTCCGGATCTCTACAGAGATTTCTCTTTGCTCTCAGAACAACACAGGCTTACAAACTCCACTTTCTGTGGCTTCAGTTCTCAGTTTGGTCAGCAGTATCCAAAATCCAAATCCAATTTATCCAATTCCAAATCCAAATCCAATGTATCCAAATCCAAAGCTACATCCACATTCACGAGACGTATTCCAGAGAAGAAAAAGAAGAAGCAGGGTACACACTCCAGGACATTTCCTCACAACTCGCCGACCACCCTGTGCTCTAAACTACATCCCAGCAGACACAGAGTTCAGACCTCCAACACCGACCATACTGTCACTCACAGCAACATTTTTTGTGACCAGTTCTGCGTGTCTGGGTCAAGTAATCATTTTGACCACAGTCCGCGGTGGTCAAAGCACAACATCAAAGTACCAAGAGTACTTCCCCCAAGACCAACTGTAAGGGAGGATACACATACGCACAGAGTAGCCACAAACTTGGAATACAATTATATCCAGTTATTTATTTTTTAAATTCATTTGTTTATCATAATATTTTAAAAGAGGCGGGAGACAACAGTGGGGATCTGGTGTACAGTTGAAACGGTAAGGGATGACTTGGCAAATGTGGTCAAAGACTACCATTACCGCAATGTATACCCCTTGACCTCAGTTTGATAAAAGTTTTTTTTTTTCTTGTACTTTCTTATTTCAGTTTTAATTTAGTTTTAACTTCAGTAAGAGTTTTACGGCACTTGCAACACAAATAGGTCACTTGAGTGCCGATGATTAACCTTCCCGCCTGTCAAAAGACTGAGTGAAGTTGATACGTTATAGGAATAAATATGTCACAGGAGCTTGCTCTCTCTCTCTCTCTCTCTCTCTCTCTCTCTCTCTCTCTCTCTCTCTCTCTCTCTCTCTCTCTCTCTCTTCTCTCTCTCTCTCTCTCTCTCTCTCTCTCTCTCATCTCATCCTGACACAATCACAGCACCATGACAAACAGTTACGTAAATCAAAGACCTCTCACATCACCTGGATCAATGCCCTAGGCCCACACCGTATCAAACTTTCATGAACCTTGCCTGATATACCGTGAGTACACAGAGCTGACCTCTCGTGCACTGTGTGACCTCCAAGGTCACGCGGTTAGGCATTACGTGGGCTGATGTCTTGTTTTGGAAAGGTTTTACGTGGGTGGTTGGCGGGTGTTCTGGTGTGGATTCCTCCTTCTTTCCTATCAAACATCTATCGTCCTTATCTCTCCCTCTTCTTTTTTGTGTTTGTCTTTCTTCGGTACTTTCATTATTATGCCTTATTGTATTGGTACTATCGTAAAACTCTGACTAAAACAAAAAGTAAAAGGTTTTACGGCACTTGCAACTGCATAAAGGTCCTATGAGCGGATGACTGAGAAAAAGACTCGGGTATCAGTTTTGGCTGGCACAGAGCAGGGAACTCATTGCCGTATAAGAATTTGGTCGCTTTTAAGTTCAACGGGGCTATCCTGAAAAATGCTGTTTTGAGAAAATCGAGGGTAAATTTTTTGCCCCCCTGTTCAGTTTCTTTTTTAAAAAAACAAGGAAAATTTTCTTTATAACCAAGCAAATATCCACACCAGTGGAACCAAACTTCTCCTATAGGTAGGGCAATGCCCACTTTTGGTGTAGGTTAAGAATTCTGGAAATCCCCGAAATCTGGGTTAGCCCGCTTGTCCTTAACTTAAAAGCGTTCATTTAATGTACAGCCGAATGATTTGCCCAAGACGGTCACCCATTGTCGAGGAGAAAAGTGGTTGTTTTAGACAGGTGAATGTCCTGGACGAAGTTATCGTTGTAGAACAAATGAAAAAAGCGCAGGGAAGTGGCCCTCATTCAGATGATTGTCTTGGACAGGCCTTTGGAGCAGGTCGGAATGTACTCTATAATTGAAATCAAATGAATGTTTGACCATTCCATTAATTTATAGATCGGATTTTAAGCATATTATCATTTTAATCTTGTTTGGTTACATGTGTTTCCTTTTCACTTGTGTTTATTTATTTATTCATTTATTTATTTATTTATTTTTACTTAGTTTATTTTTTTATTTTTTGGTCG